ATCATCTCGAGAGTTATATTTGTATCCATGTGAAATATAGAGCTAATTAATAATATACCAGCATGCTAATTCTTAGTAACTTTCTCATAGCTGTCATAAAATATATGGCAGGGACAACTTGAAGAAGGCTTTACTTTGGCTCTTGGTCTCTGAGATGTCAGTCCAGTGACATAGAGAGGGCCTGGTAGAGCAGAGCAGTTCACATCATGGTGGCCAGAAAGCAGAGTATAGGATCATGACATTATGCTGGCTTTTCTTTTATCCCACCAGTGTTCTAAGCTAATAGGTTGATGCCATGGATGTTCAGTGTTGGTCTTCCTCTTTAATGAGTCTTCTCTGCAGACTATCTCACAAACACGTACAGTGGGATGCCTCACTGATTGGTAATTCTAAACCACTAAAATTGACAGTAGAGATTAGCTACTATACAAATTTTCCTAATTTAAATTGATTACATCATCATTTTAAGCCACTTATTTACAGAAGAGGTAGGCAGACTAGAACAACTTTGGGAAATATAGATTTAAGAGCACAAAATGTTTGGAGGAATTTGAGATGAATATTATCATGATCAAAGTAGCATAACAGAAAATCTATGTATCTCTAGCTCATTTAAGACATTGTGCCTGGGCTGGAGAGATGGCTCAGCGGTTAAGAGCACTGACTGCTCTTCCAGAGGTCCTGAGTTCAATTCCCACCAATCACATGGTGGCTCACAACCATCTGTAATGGGATCTGATGCCCTCTTCTGGTGTATCTGAAGACAGCGACAGTGTACTCATATAAAATAAATAAATAAATCTTTAAAAAACAGAAAAGACATTGTCCCTAATGGACTGTATAGTGATAGTGCTGTAGCAGTTGTCATTGATCAAAATTAGCACATACTTGGTTAATATCTGAAGCTAGTATAATGTGTTAATAAAATTTAGTGAAAATTTAATCAATAAGCATTTCTGCCTTTCTGCATACATTAATTCCAATGAGGAGCGTACTAAATGTTAAAGAGGGTTGAGGTACAGCTGGCTGGATGGGAGAAAGTCTGACCTCTTCAGCCCTTGCTGATGTGGCACACTTACTGTTCAAGCCCCCTCTGCTGCTTTACTCTTAACATTGTATATACATGTCTCTTAAGAAACACCTAGAAAGCAAGAATGAAACAGTCTTGGTTATACTTTCCATAGTTTCTGTTACCAAAAATGAGACTTAAAAAATTACATACACTAGATACACATTTCTCAGAAGCCCTTGATACATACCTCCTTAGGGGAAGGTTTGTTATAGTGACATACTCAGGAGTTTGTCATACTGAAATTAATGAATTCTTTGAAGATTTATGGAGTAAATCTCTCATAATTGATACTAAGGATGGAAAAAAAAAAGCAGGGAGCTGTGGTTCTACTTTCTGAAGTAGATTTCCAAAATATAGAGCAGTACAGCGAAGACAAGAGCATATGACAATTATTTATGCAAGTGAATAAAATTATCACTTTTCAGATCTTATATTGATAATCTTCAAAATGACAAATATAAGGTGTTGCTTTGAGAGCGTTAAACAATATATGTAAAAACTGCTTCCACAAAAATTGGTTGGAAGGGCTGGAGAGATGGCTTATCTGTTAATAGTGGATCCTGCTATGGCTGAGGACCTGGGTTTAGTTCCTAGCACCCACATTTGGTGACCTACAATTGCCTGTAATTAGCTTCAAAGTATCCAGCATTCTTCTGGCTTCCATGGGCACCTACATATGAGATGCTGTAAACTCATGGGACACACTTACATGAATAAATTAAAAAAAAAAACCTTTTTGCTTTTTTTGTTTTTAAATCTGTTTGGAGCTGATGAGATTTAGTGCTAGGAATAGTAGTCTGGGGCTCGGGACATGGCTAAAGTTGGTACAGTGCTTGCCATGCAAGCATGATCACCTGAGTTTGGATCATTTGCACTTGTGTGAAAAGACAGGCACAGCATACTAACCTGTAATTTTAGTTTTGAGGATGTTAGAATCACTAGGGCTTACTAGTTAGTGTCAGCTAGTCTAGCCAAGTCAGTGTGCTCCATGTTCACCAAACATAGGTGAGGTAAACATCTACTTACATCAGCTGCTGGTCTCCACCCATGTATAGACGTGTGCCCACACAGGAGCTATACCCAGCCTTGCTTACTATAGTTTATACTGGTGAGAATAGTTTGGTGGGGGTGGGGGTGGGGGTCTGGTAGGGCAGAGGAGGAATGATTTCCTTGGGAGCGTACTTAGTTTTGTAGAACTGAGACTGAGAGTTTTAAAGGGTTTAGATGTTATCAGAACTGTAGGATAAATGACAAAGACTGGAGGGAATATATGAAAAGTGGCTTTACATTTTTTTGAGATGGAAGAATGTTTTATTCTGCTAAACAAAGAACTCTTTTAGAGATGTGAGCTCTCTCTACAGAAAAACATTATTACTATAGCAGTTTACATAGAATTTCAAGGTCAGTCAAGATAAGCAGCTTTTTTTTGAGAGAGGGTTTCTCTGTTAGCCTTGGCTGTCCTGGAGCTCTCTATGTGGACTTGGCTGGCCTTGTATTCACTGGAGGGAAGCTTGGATAGTCAGAAGAGACACAGGCCGGTATGTCTATGGAGGTTCTCAAAGTCCATGACTATGTTATGTATATGTTATGAATATGTATATGTTAGAAGTGAGATCTAAAGCACAGGTAGAAAAACTGTCTCAGACCAGAGAGTAGACTGTAAGTAGAGGGATAAAACTATAAATCTATGACAGGAAGTTAGAGAATTCTTAGACTGTTTCTCTGAAGTCAGGTGTGGACTCATTTCACTTCATGAATCATAACATGAATGGCAGTTTAAAAACAATTGCTTTATTACTTTTGAAGACTATAAGTTGAGATGTACATGTGTTGTATATGTGTTGATACTCATGGGTTGGTTTCTGTACTGATATAATGGGAAATATTTCTGAATCCATTTTATGATTTAGTACTTTCATGTGAAGTACTAAATCATAAAATGTCTTAGTCTTCATGATTGAATTTTATTTTTATAAACAAAACTGCCACGTGTGGTAAGCACACACCCTTCAATGTGAGTTAAAAGCCAGCCTGATCTATAATAACAAGTTATAGGCCACCTGGGGCTACCTAGTGAGACCTTGTCTCAAAAATCCACAGATAAAGTTTTTCTTCTAAGATGTGGCCTATGGGGGACATAGGGTCTTGTGATTGTTAATATCTTTATTCTTATACTGATAGTGTTTGCTTAATTTATTCAAAAGTGATTAGTTAGGCTTCTTAAACTTATATTAAATGAATTTTATATGCCAAGCATCAATAATTGTAATAAACCTCAAAGACAGAGAAGTATGTAGAGATTAGTCAAACATTCTATTCATATCTCACTCTGGTCTTTTTTGTTTGTTTGCTTGTTTGTTTGCTTGTGGGTTTTTTTGTTTTTGTTTTTTTTTTGAGACAGGGTTTGTCTGTATAGCCCTGGCTGTCCTGGAACTCCCTCTGTAGACCAGGCTGGCCTCAAACTCAGAAATCTGCCTCCCTCTGCCTCCCAAGTGCGGGATTAAAGGTGTGCGCCACCACCGCCCGGCTTATATCTCATATATTTAATTATAAGTATATGAAAGTTTGTAATTTTCTCTTTGCTTGTTAAGTTTGAATTAACAAAGTTTATGAAGGCTGGAGAAATGGCTCAGTGGTTAAAAGCACTGACGATCTGGGTTCAGTTCTAAGCACCCACATAACAGCTTGCAACAATCCATAAGTCCATTTCCAGGTATTCTAGTGCCCTTTTCTGGCCTCCATGGGCACAAGGCACACATGTATGTTCATACATTCATGCATGGAAACACATATACATAAAATTAAAAGCACTTTTAAAGTGTTCAATTCAGCAATTTTTGGTAGATTCGGGAGGTTGTACATGTATTCACATTACAAGGTATGCAGATTTGAGATATCTGGCTTTTAATTTAATTTTTAAAAAAGATTTATTTATTTGAGTATATGAGTACACTGTAGCTGTCTTCAGACACACCAGAAGAGGGCATCAGATCCCATTACAGATGGTTATGTGGTTGCTGGGAATTGAACTCAGGACCTCTGGAAGAGCAGTCAGTGCTCTTAACCTCTGAGCCATCTCTCCAGCCCTTTTAATTTAATTTTTAAAAAATTATATTTATTTGCTGGTGTGTGTGTGTGTGTGTGTGAGTGTGTGTGGTGTGTGTGGTGTGTGTGGTGTGTGTGTGAGAATATGTGTGTGTGTGTGTGTGTGTGTGAGAGAGAGAGAGAGAGAGAGAGAGAGAGAGAGAGAGAGAGAGCGCACACACGTGCACATGCTCTCAGGAGCGAGCATGCATGGACTCCCTGTAACTGGAGTTACAGTTGTGAGCAGTCTGACCTGGGTCCTGAGGACTGCATTGTGGTCCTCTGAAAGTGCAGCTGTCCTCAACCGCTGAGCCGCCTCTCTAGTCCTTTATGAAAAAGTTCTCCTCTAAGACTAGATCTTGATGGAAGAGAGAATTAGGTCTTGATCAAAATGATCAGATAGGCCGGGCAATGGTGGCGCACGCCTTTAATCCCAGCATTTAGGAGGCAGAGGCAGGTGGATTTCTGAGTTCGAGGCCAGCCTGGTCTACAGAGTGAGTTCCAGGATGCCAGGGCTACACAGAGAAACCCTGTCTCAACACCCCCCCCCAAAAAAAAAAAAAGGTCAGATTTGTAATCTTGTTCTTCTACTGTTACTGGTAATCATTGCTAAGGTTACAGCCATTGATTGATATAAAGCTGACGGTTACTTAGCTTCTTCTGTAGTTTATGATTGTACTTTGTACCTCACTGTAGTTAGGGTTACTTAGGGTTTAATTATCCATGTTTGGCATATAAAATTCATTTAATATTTTTAAGCATTTAAATGTTTAAAAGTGAAGCAATTCAGTCTTACTATTTTAATTTAATTTTCCTATGTATTTGTTTTTTTTTTTTTTTACAGTACTCTGTGCAAAAAACTTGGTGAAAAAGGATTTTTTCCGTAAGTAAATGAACTTTAATACAAATCTTGTATATCCTGTGTAGGTTTGGGGGAGAATTGTATTTTCAGAACTGTCTGGTTTAGAGATTTGGAGGCAGACTGTTTTATGAATGCTACAATTTCAGGTCATTGCCTTACACTTATCTGGAGGGTTCTGTGGTTTACCTTGCCCCTTCTCTTTACCCACTTCTACTCATTCATACAAATGTGTGTGCAGGTGTACAAATGCAAGTGTTAGAAGTGTTTCTGGAAAGGTTCAAGAAAAAAATTAATATGCTTTTACTTTAACATTTTAAGGAAAATTCACTCATACATTCAGGATTCACTGGGAGGGAGAGAGTTGAGCCTGCTTGTAGAGTTTCCAGGGTTATAGGAGAGAGACACTGCCAGTCTCCAGAGAAAGGGTTGACTCTGCACTGTAGTCTATTTGCCAATTGGATGTAGTTTTCTGTTTTGTTTTGGGACAGGGTTTTGCTGCGTGGCCCAGCTGGCCCTGAACTTACAGTCCTTCTGATTCTGTCTTCTTGAGTGTCAGGATTACAGGCATTAACAATGCCCAGAAGTTGCGAAAATTTTTGTAGTTTTATTTAAGATTAAATTTTGTGAGAGCCCATTGGGACATTTCCTTGTATTTACTAAAAATCTTAACCTGTAATCTCTTTCTCTCTTTCTCTCTTTCTCTCTTTCTCAATTTGTATTTTTTTTGTTGCTTTGAGGTAGAGTTTCATGTATCCCTGTCTGGCTTTGAGTTCTTGAGCCTTCTGTGTAGTCTCTGCGAGCAGATTTCTAATGTGAATTTTAACCTTATAATTGTATACTTTACATTAGCTTTAAATTATTCAAGATTGTAAACAAAAAACTTTAGCCAAAAATTTTACATGTAAAATATTTGAAATTAGAAATAACTTTTATTAGAATTTTTTAATCTAAGTTCTGTCAGCTTACAGAAACAGTGTATTGGGTGTTTAATATGATGTTAGGTAATATTTTTCAGGTTGGTTAAAAGGGTTAGAAATTCTCAGGACTGGAGAGATGGCTCAGCAATTAAGCACTGGTTGCTTATCCAGAGGACCTAGGTTGGATTCTCCACACCCACGTGGAGTCTCACTACCATTTGTAACTCCAGTTCCAGGGGATCTGATGGCCCAGTTCTGACCTCTGAAGGCACTTCATGCAAGTGGTGCACAGGCATATGTGCAGGCAAAACATTCATATATATACATAATAATAATAGTAATATTTTTACAGGAATCATTTTTGACACATTTTAAATTCATACTTATTTTCATTTATTACTTTCTATCTTTCTACATTTTATAAAACTCTAGGTATGAATGTTTATGGTATCTTTGTGTTTATATGGGTAAGTGTGAAGTAGGATAACTTGAAGCAGAGGAGGGGCAATTGGAAGTAGCCTTCCACTTTTGTACCATATTCTGTGTACCTCACAAGCATTTCACAGGAGAGGAGGGCCCAAGGGCTGTGGAACTCCCCAACTGTAACTGCTAACACCAATTTTATTCTCTCCTGGGCTGCTCCTTAATTATTCTTCTCTATCATTAATAACCTAAAGACCTCAGTAATTTTTTGAAAAACTCTTCCTAAGATTGAGCTTTGTGATTTGTCTTGATGAAGCTGCAAAGCAGCAGGGAGGCTTGGCTGTGGTGCCGACCAGAGCAGAGCTGAGGCTCGCCTTTAAGACATTTGCCCACATTTTGTAGATAAAATCTTCAGTCTATCTTTGTCTGTCTTTCAGTTTTCTTTCCTTTTCAAGTTCTTTCCCTTTCCCAAGAGCCCCATTCACAGCTTCTCTCATAAAACATCCAGATAGTCTTGTCTCAGTGTTCCTCAGAAGTCGTTAATTCTTTGTAAGTCTCTAAGAATTGACAGTGACACCTTGTGAGTCTTTTTGTGCTTGAATAGTAGGTGAAAGAAAGAAATCCTATTTCATTGGTGTAGGCAGTAAAAACTGCAAAGAATAATTTGAGTAATTTAAGAATGTGAGTTTGCTTCAGGCATAAGGTTTGAAGGTAGCATAATTATTTTTAAAACTCAAAATGGAAGCTATCTGGCAGACTAGAAAAGAGAAAAACAAAAAATCAGCCTTAGGCCTTCCAGAGGAGTCAGCCAAGGATGGCAGTGACCTGAGGCTCACCCTGACCTATGTTCCAGATTTCTGTGTAGGTTTATACCTGTACTTCAGGGTGTCTTTGGCCTGTTTATAATAAAGTTTTGTCTATCCACATTTATCTTAGAGGAAGACAGTAGATCTCAAATGTTTCTATTATCGAGTATGTTTCCTGATCAGAGTAGAGTTTTTAAAAAAAGATTTATTTATCATTTTAATTTTAGGTGCATGAGTGTTTTACTCACATGTAAGTGTACTGCCCCCATCCCTGGTGCCCCTGGAGGCTAGGAGAGGGTGCTGGGTTCCTGGAAGTATATTTATGGACAGTTGTAAACCATTATGTCAGTGCTAGGAAGTAAACCTGGTTTCTCTGCAAGACTAACAAATGCTTTTAACTGCTGATGCATCTCTCTAGTACACAGAGCATAATTATTAATAATAAATATAGTTAAGTTTTTGTAATTTAAATTGTGTTCAGTGATTAAAGTCTATTTTAAGGTAGTGTATGGGTACATGTGTCATGATACATGTGAGGGCTCTACTGCTCTTAGGAAAATCTTTTTGTACCTGTGTGTGCTCTCCATTCATTGCTCTTTCTTCCTGTTCATATTCAGTCTGTTCTCCTGGCTTCATGAGCTCTTCCTTCACTCACTTTTGAACCAAATAGTAAATGGATGGTGTGTCAGTTTTTTATCACTGACCGAATATTTGAAAGAATCAACTTAAAGGAGGAACTGGTTTTTTGGTTTTGGGGGGATCTTTTTGTTTTTGTTTTTTTGGCTCACTGTTGTAGAGGTTTCCAGCTTATGTCTAACTGGCTTAGTTTGTGTGGGCCTGTGACAAGGCTGAGCATGTGGCAGGGAGAACACGATGAGGCTGCTCAGTTCACCATGGCTAGAGAGCAGAGACGACAGGGATGGGACAGAGTAGGGCAGGAGTGAGACACAGCACCCGAGCTCTACCTCAAGGACTCAGTTCCTTCAGCAGGGTTTGTCTCATTGTCACCTCCCAGAACAGCCCGTCATATTGTGAATGCATCAGTGGGTTACTCTTGATAAGGTCAGACTCCTCATAAATCAGTCCCTTCCCAACTACCTCTGGGTATTGCTGTGGTAGGGACCAATCTAACACAGTCATTGGGGTACATTCCAGATCCAAATATGATATGATATAGCATAGTTGCAACCCTTTAATACAGTTTCTCATGTTGTAGTGACCTCCAACCATAAAATTATTTTCATTATTACTTCATGACTATAATGTTGCTGCCCTTATGAATCATAATGTAAATACCTTGTTTTCCCATGGTTTTAGTCAACCCCTGTGAAAGGGTCCTTTGATTTCCCCACAAGGGGTTACAACTCAGCAGAACCGCTGCTTTAGACTCTGGTCATACTTTTCACTACTATGTGTACGTTGATCTAGTTATGATTTGACATTTAATCTTTTTATTCTTCATTTGTAAAATAGGAATAACAACACTCATTTCCCTCAGAAGATTATTGTAAAGATTTAAGATGAAGCATTTTGAATAATTCCCATTATGTTTGCTGTTTTAGTCAGATAGCCAAGCATTTCCTTACTGTCAAGTTCTTTACCTGTGGTTGCTACTTTCATTTCCCTTTTGTGGTGTCTCTTATACTTGTAGTCATTACTTGGTGGCAGTTTTTAAAAAGTTTGGCTTTTCTGAAGTTAATGTTCTGTGTGACAACTATGTTTAACAAGCCCTTCACATGAGCTGCTAAGACAGTGTGTGCAAGGGAAGAGTGGGGATATTTGAGCATTCACCTTCTTAGAGGTTAATGGCTGCTTATAATCCTCAAGCACCCAGGCACCATCTAGACCATGGTAGTGTTGCTCCAAGTTGGGAACAAGAAAAAAAGCATACAGTTTTGATATCAAATGTGGAAGTGACTTCAATGTTTGGTTTAAAATAGCCCCTCACCCTCTGTGCGTGCGTGTGTGCCTGTGTGTGTGTGTTTGAATGTTGGAATGGAAAAATATTTTATAGCAAATAATAATCCTCATGTAATTAATCTTTTGTCTTACATGTCAAAGTATTTTTTTTTTAGTTTAAAATACTTAACTTTTTCCCACAGGACTCCCTGATCCATTTGCTAAGGTGGTAGTTGATGGTTCTGGGCAGTGCCATTCTACAGATACTGTGAAGAACACACTTGATCCAAAGTGGAATCAGCATTATGACCTGTAGGTATAAATGATTAATTTGAAATGAAACACAGAATTAAATTTAATATAATCTTTTAAAAGAATCATGGAAAATGGTTTCAGTTTGTATATAATACAGTTTCCTTTTCTTTTCCTTTGTCAAAATAGTACTAAATATTGAGCCTTGGGTCTCAAACATGGAAGGCAAGCACTCTATCACTGAACTATACCCTCACCTCCTTTTTTACTTGTATGTATTTTAAGACAGGTCTTACTAAGTTGCTCAGGTAGACCTTGAACTTGGACTCTTCCTACTTCACCCTTCTAAATAGCTAGGATTGCAGGCCTGCCAATGAACAGGCTCAGCTTTATGACTTGATATCTATAAACGGGGAGCCAAACCCAGTGGACAAGTGCTTTGAGTGATTGATAAACAAGACAGGCAGTCAGGCATGTGCGTGTGTGCGTGTGCGCACACACACACTCAGTTAAAAGAAAGAAAACATATCTTTAAAAAGTTACAGCTATATTTCTTGGTAAGTTCAGTTTACCTTTTCCTGAAGACTAGGGATGTTGAACATGTTTTCATGTGCTTGATGGAACTTATTTTATAGTGAGTATTAACTGGCTTCCTAGGGAGATCTATCTTACATGTGGAGGGCCACATGATCAGAGTAATACTTGGGATCATTTTGTTAAATCTTTTCATTACGTTGTGTAGGCCTAGAAAGGATAACAATTATACTTTAGCCAATATCTTGACTGCATATATAATATTGTATTCTTCATGATAATATTGTGTTCCCTTGTAGAGATATTCCTTATATGTTAGACCCTCTTAAATTTTGTTTATAAATCTTATACTTGTTGGGGAAGTTGAGGTTCTAATAAAATAGAGATTTCTATTTAAGTTTAAAGCTTGGTGCAAGCCGGGCGGTGGTGGCGTACGCCTTTAATCCCAGCACTTGGGAGGCAGAGGCAGGCGGATTTCTGAGTTCGAGGCCAGCCTGGTCTACAGAGTGAGTTCCAGGACAGCCAGAACTACACAGAGAAACCCTGTCTCGAAAAACCAAAAAATAAAAAAAAAAAAAAAAAAAAAAATCTTGGTGCAGTGGTATGTGCCTATAGTACTACCTATTCAGGAGGATTGTAAATCCTTAGTCCATGTATGAACAACATAGCAAGACTCTTTCTTAAACACAACACCAACAAAAACTGTTTAGCTTACAGGTTTAAAAGAATTCATTTTCTTCTAGCCATGTATATTAAGTTATATAAGTTTTCTTTAAAATAAAAACAGAGACTGCCTAAATGTGATTTCTAATTCATTTCTGACCTTGAAATATTTTGACAGAATGTTTCTGACTTGTAAAACTTAAGTCCTTACAGTTATTTTCAAAAGGCCTATAATTAGAAAATTATTACAGTTTAGAATTTCAGATCTTTTTGAATCATAGTAAACATAAAGAATATTTTGGTACATGTACTAAGAGTTCCTTAGGCCAGTGGTGGGCTATGGAGGCCTCAAGAGTCACTATTTTAAAATAGCTACAAACCAGTTAGGAAACAGGTGTGGGTGTGTGTGTGTGTGTGTGTGTGTGTGTTGTATTACTTGTTATTATGTGATATAACATGCAATAGTTACATACTAGTATGTATTTGGTAGATGTTTTTGAAAATTGATACATGTGTATTCTATGTCAATTTAGAACATCTCTTTTGTAAGCAATAGACCCAATACAAACTAGCTTCATTTTAGAGCCAGGTTTGATGGCCCACGCCTGTAATCCACCACTTGAAGCAGAGGCGCCGGAGGGAGGCAGGTTAAAAGCCAATCTGGTCTAAATAAACAATAACAAAACAGGCCTGGGCATGTAGCTTAGTTGGTAGAGTACTTGCCAAGCATGCATAGAGCCCTGGGTTTGATCCCAGTATTACCTAAAACTGGATATAGTAACACATCCCTATGATCTCAGCACGGTAGGTGAAAGCAAGATCTCCTAGTGAGTTCAAGGCTAGCCTGGGCTGCATTAGACCGTCCTTCAAAGCAACAAAGCAAAGGGAGAAAAAACCTTAGTTTTTATAAGGTGAATGTATTGACTTGCATCACAAGAATGTCAGGGTGGTCACTCTTTAGACACACTGAAGCACATCTTCCACACTCCTTGTTTTGGTTTTATTGAATGATAGCATAAGATCAAGGTGGCTGGACCAAAAATGTGACCTCTTAGAACCACTGAAAGAAAGTTAGGTTCTGAACACATGATTATGTTATTAACCATGTTTTTGCATGACTTGATGCCATGTTAATAATTGGCTGTGATAGAGCTTTTACATACTTGCAGGCATATGCACAGACAAGTATAGTAACGCTTTTCCCTGCTCTGCTTGTCTGCAGGCAGTGAAGTGAAATCTACAAGAGTCCTGCTCGCTCAAGGCCTGCATATAGGAAAGAAGCAGGGGAAAAGCGTTACAAACAACTTTTGTTCTGCAGCATTTAAAAATATAACAGGTAGGTCAGATTTTTGGTCTATCAGCCTTGACAGTGCCTCTTGAAGGTGAACTAAGTATCTGAGGTAATACTTAAAATATGAGTGCTCTTTCTACATCTGAATGACAATCCCAAACCCTAAAATAGCTTTTTTTTATTTAAAGTTTTTACCCAACATGAGATTGGAAAAAAGGGGATTATTTTAAAAATTATTTTAAATGTTTTTAAAGTTTAAGTTCAGTACTTTGGATTTATTGAATTCAAAACATAGTTTGCTTCTTTTAGCCATATTCTGAAATTTACTTAGGATGTTTGGATATTAAAAAGTTAAATTGTATACTATTTATAATTACCAAGTTATTCATGTAGCTGTTTTGTTTTTTAGGTATATTGGAAAGTCTGATTCAGTTACGATCAGTGTATGGAATCATAAGAAGATCCATAAGAAGCAAGGTGCTGGATTTCTTGGTTGTGTTCGTCTTCTTTCCAATGCCATCAACCGCCTCAAAGACACTGGTTGTGAGTAAATTTTTTAATTAGAAAATATGTATGAGAACTTTTATGTAGTAAGTTCCCATGTATATCTGAAACACTGATAAATGTTCCTGGTCTATATTTATTAATCAGACACAAAAATTGAAACATTTTGGGCTTGCAAAGTAGTTTGGTGGGTCAGCCAGCTGCCAAGGGTAATAGCTGACTCTCTCTTTCTCCTTCTCCCCTTCCCTTTTTTCTCCCTATCTCTCTCTCCTCCCTAGCACATACTAAATACTTAAATTGAATTTTTTTTTTCAGAAATAAAACTTTTTTTTTTTTTTTTTTTTTTTTT